CTGTCCCTTCTTCGTAAAAATATTCGAAGGAATCCTCTTTCCTCATGGGAAACTTACTCCAAAAATAAATTAATAGCAAACTTTCTATTCATACAACTAAAGCAACACATGTATGTATGAATATTTTTTATTTTGTTAAATATCAAAATTATTATCCATGCGATTGGACGCTTGCCTGCGTGTGAGGCCAATATAGATATGTATGGTCAAAACTCTAGTTGAGGAGGGGTATATTTGTCTTGCTCGGTATATAGCCGAATCAGAATTCTCCTCTTTTGGAAGTGACCACATACATCCTTTGGTTCCTCTTGTTTGTTTGGTTGGAGGGGAGGGGAGATGAGCCCCTCCCCTCCCCTCATTTGATTAAAAATTTTAGAGGGGAGGGGAGCTAAAATGTCCCCTCCCCTCCCCCTTCCCTCTCTCTCCTTATTTTGGCTCCCCTCCAAATTAGGGCCTGTTTGGTTTGAGGGGAGGGAAGGGGGGAAGGGGAGGGGAGGTTTCATCCTCACCTTGTTTGGTTTGATTAAAAAGGAGGGGAGGGGAGGGTATTTAATGATCCATTGTTTGATTCAAGGAGGGAAGGGGAGGGATAGTAATAATCAATTTACCATTTTACCCTTACATATTAGTTTATGTTTTTTATTGATATATTATATAAATTAATTTACATCTTAATTTAAATTATATAATTTAATAAAAATTCAGTCTTATCATGTTAATATGTGTATTAAAAAATTGGTATAGTAATTTTTTATTCTAATTAATATAATAATATATTTAAAATAATCAAATTAACAAATTTTATATGCTCTAAGAAAAATGAAATTTTATTCTCTTTAGGCTATCTTTTTTTCCAGCTTTAAAATATATTTAATAAATAATATATTTATAAAAAAATTAATTTTATAATATTATAATTTTTTATTTTTAAATAATTTTTATAATATATTTTTAATTATAATAATGTATTTATTTTTTATTTTTTACTTAGGATAATATATTTTTTATTTAAAATAAATATTATAATAATATATTTTATGGGTAAAAGTGGAATATTAAAAAACCATAAGGGTATAATGATCCAAAATTTTGGCTCCCCTCCAAAAACCCCCAATTTGGAGGGGAGCTAAAATGGGGGGAGGGAGGGGAGGGGAGGGGAGGGGAGGGGACATTTTAGCTCCCCTCCCTCCAAAATTTTTAACCAAATGAGAGGAGGGGCTCATCTCCCCTCCCCTCCCCTCCCCTCCCCCCCAACCAAACACACCTAAGAGGAGCCAAATTTTTGGACCATTATGTCCTTATATTTTTTTAATATTTCACTTCTACTCATAAAATATATTATTATAATATTTATTTCAAATAAAAAATATATTATCCTAAGTAAAAAAATAAAAAATATATACATTATAATAATTAAAAATATATTATAAAAAATTATTTAAAAATAAAATATTATAATATTATAAAATTAATTTTTTATGAATATATTATTTATTAAATATATTTTAAAGCTGGAAAAAAAGATAGCCTAAAGAGAATAAAATTTATTTTTCTTAGAGCATATAAAATTTGTTAATTTGATTATTTAAATATATTATTATATTAATTAGAATAAAAAATTACTATACCAATTTTTTAATACACATATTAATATGATAAGACTGAATTTTTATTAAATTATATGATTTAAATTAAGATGTAAATTAATTTATATAATATATCAATAAAAAACATAAACTAATATGTAAGGGTAAAATGGTAAATTGATTATTACTATCCCTCCCCTCCCCTCCCTGAACCAAACAAGGGATCATTAAATATTCTCCCCTCCCCTCCTTTTTAAATCAAACCAAACAAGGTGAGGATGAAACCTCCCCTCCCCTCCTCTAACCCTCCCTCCCCTCCTTCCCCTACCCTCCCCTCAAACCAAACAGGCCATTAGTTCTCTTTGTTAGGTGACGGGTGAGTTGAAACTCAGGACTCGTGGAGATCTAAGGCATGCCTCTAAGCTTAAAATATACTTGCAAAAATACTTCTAGATTATTTCTTAATAAGATCCTCATACTAATAATATGATTTGATTTTACGACCTTAAAAATTATAAATTGACTCTTTATCTATTAAAACTTGTCATTACATTGTTATAAAATTTTTTAGTAGATATACTAAAATCTTATAGAAATTTTCTCTTAATTTATTGTAGCACCTAAGACAATTGCATAATTTCTCACATAAATTATACAAATCAAGATGCACAACAGCATGTGATTAGATTGGTTTAGTCTCCAATTGAACATGCGACCTCCTGGAATTCCATGTGAACAAGCCAAACAAAATTTACCAGATAATCAACGCGGAAACTTTGGCTGTGGAGCTACTCAAGGAATTTTAAATACAGAGCCTCTTGACCTTGTGACCAAAAAATAGAAAAAAGGACTACGAGGCTCTGGCTGCAGACGATCACAATCCGCCGACCAGTACTGTATTATTCTGTGGGGCCCAAGAAGTATTACGATGACCACACAACTTTCGTCCTGGAATCCCCAATGCATTATCTACAATCCGATCGTGCCACGTGTCCCTCATGCCTTGATTCAGCCGTCGGATGAACCCTTCCTTTTGCGCTTCGCAAAAGTGCAAGAACCTGGCCGCATGCCTTGGGTCCTTATCCTCCCACCAACGGTCATCGTCGTCGCCGCATTCCGGCGACCCCTCACCTGCGCGGGAGAATTCCTCTCGAGAAAATCCGGCTAAGTCTGTAACGTACTCCACCACTCCGTCAATGAGCCTCACGGGAGCACCAGACTTGGCATCCCATAGCCATACTCGAACCATGGCACGTAAAACAGATGAAACTATTGCTTCTTTGTAGTTCTCTTCTTCAAGCAACGATGGGCTCAGGTCAATCACGTAATCGTTGACTTTCTTTCCGGCGGAGATGATGGTGGCAGCAGTAAGATTCCGGCTAGCAAGGCGGAGGGTGACGTGGGATACGTGCTTCTTGGAGTACTGATGTGGATCAGGATAAAGGAAGCGTTCCACGAAGGAGCTGGTGTTGAGGAGTATTCGGGTGGCTCCGTCGTTTGAGACGTAAAAGAGATCAAAACGGCGGCCGGCCGGGGAATCCATGGCGTCGTTTAATAGGGTTATGCGGAAGGTTTTGGAGGCTTCATAGTTAGCCCATAATGCGATAGCTGCAACCGAGAAAACGAAAACCAATCTGATGATCACAGTTTTGTCGCTTGAGAAGATCGAATCTTTGTGATGAAACGACGGTGAAGAGGTGGCAGAGACGGCAGCTGCGGCAGCCGAAGACGGTAGGAACGGCTGGAGGAGGGAATATTGGCCCTCCATATATGATGGAAACTACAGGTAAGGCAAGGAAAAAGAGGGATGTGAAGGGTTTGATAAAAACTGATCAACAACAGAAATTATATGAAAGTACAAATAATTATGGGGCTTTCGTGGTGGTGGGGACAAATGATAATGATATCGTGAATTATTTAATTTTTTTAATATGTATTGCTGCTATAAAATTCCAATAAAATATAATGTATAATAAAGCATGCATGTGCAAATCAGCGCGCATATATATATATATATATATGGTTCATATGATGCATATCGCTTATTAAGTATAGAATATCTGGATCCATAGTTAATAACTGATGAGGAGTTTGGATCTCATTTATTATTCTCTCTGTTAAAAATGAATGCAAAAGCCTCTTGTCATTGGCTTCCTTTTTTTAAAAAAAAAAAAAGTATTTTTTTCCTTTTCTTTTTAGTAGTCTTCTTCTTTTGGAGGACGTGGTCTATTTATTATAGTGAAAAGAAAATTTTTTCACGATAATGATCGAGGGGAAAGAGAGGTATGGCCTCTTGTTGTCTCCTCTGAAACAGATAGAGGCATGTGAAGGCATGGGTCGTTCTGGTTAGGAATTGAATTGAGATGTTATGTTTATGTGGCCTAAGGGTGTCTGAAAAACCTAAGATCAAACTCATTTATCGTTCATGAGATAAGATTTCTTTAACATAGTTATGTTGTACTACCTCCGATTCTAATTATAAGAGCTAGTTGACTAATTTGAGGAGATTAAGAAAAGAAGTTAAGTTAGTTATTTGTAACAAATCGGTGTTGTCTTTCCTAAAATATCCTTACTAATCAAATGTATTGGCTAGAACTACTATTGTTAGAATGATTACTTTGATAAAAAAATACATAAATATGAGAGACAAAGTGTATTGGGGTCTTATATTTAGGACCAAAATAAAAGCCAAACAAGATTTTATATTAAGGACCGGAGGTAGTATAAGAGTTCGTTTGACTTTTATTTTGATCCTAAATATAATACCTCAATTCACGTTGTCTTTCATATTTATCAATCTTTTTTCAAAATAATCTTTATAATAGTAGTTTTAGCCAATACACTTAGATTAGCAAGAATATTTTAAGAAAGACAATACATATTTATTAATTTAAATAGTTTTTTTAATCTATTCGAATTAGTCAATTAGCTCTAATATTAAAGACCGAAACTAGTATGACGTAAAACTATTTTGAAACAACCCATGAAATCACTTGAAAAAGAAAAATGCTAATCCAAACATAATAGATGCAAAAATTAAAGTGGACAGAGGGCTGATAATTGGGTGATGCAATGCTAGCCTGTTTGGGGGCAGGCCGTCTTCTTCTAATTTGCAACTTATGGTTTGACCCGAATTCCCAATTCTACTTGTTTATGGAATTATGTCTGATTTGGGTGAAATGATATTTTAATAAAAAACGCTATTTGAATTATATCCTTAGCATGGTTGTGTGATTGGTAATAATTATAAGTCTAACATTAATGAGTCTTGAATCTACATGAGGCAATTTTTGACCAAACTACATGAGCCGCTTGACATAACAAGGATTACGAGGATTTTGGTCAACTTAGAACAGATAGTTAAACCCAAAAATGTGTTTTGGGGGGGGGGGATTTGCTGAGAGAGAAGCAAAATTGCAAAATCTGATACTGTAATTAGTGATGCATTTTTAGAGACAAAAAGTGTTTGATGACAAGAATTGTATTAAGAATACAGTAACATAGACAAGTGGGAAGCAAATGATTGATGATGAAGGTGCAGCAGAGGGATATGGAGTCATAGGCACCGGAACTGACCCAAACACATTTGCTCCCATTGAGTTTGTTGTGTTCAACACTGATGTGCTTGTGCTGCATTCCAATTTTAACACTCCATTTTTAAAAGGCCCCAAATAATAATAATAATAATAATAATAATTAAGAACCTCATTGAAAAAAATAATATAGTTATGTTTTTCTGATTCAGTTTGTGGCAAGAAAATAAAAGAAAGCTTAGATGGGGTAAGAGCGAAATGTCACCTCACCTGATGGAGGGATATTGACAAGGGCCAGAACCTGGGGGAAAAAATAGAAAAGAAAACAAAAAGAAAACATTAACAAATAATTAATTAATAAAAAGGAGAAACCCTATGGATAGACAATAAATACTACCTCCTGTCCTTATTATAAGATCTCATTTGACTTTTTATTTGGTCCTAATTATAAGACCCCAATCCATTTTGTCTCTCATATTTATGCATCTTTTTCCAAGATAATCCTTCTAATAATGATAGTTCTAACCAATATACTTAATTAACAAGGATATTTTAGGAATGACAACACTTATTTATTACAAATAACTAACTTAACTTACTTCTTTAATCTCCTCAAATAAGTTAACTGGGTCTTATAATTAGGACCGGAGGTAGTATAAGAATGGGTCACTTTTCTAAGGTGTGGCTCTGTGGCTACCAAGAAAAGTTGGAAAAAATTTTGACTTTCTGCTACATGCATATCAATCAAGTGCCGCTTTTGTAGGTCCTAAAAATACCCAAATAAACTTCCAAGAAAATTCAAAGATGCACCAAAAGTTCCTTGTTCTGTTCTGTCTCTGCCCAGTATCCAATCCAAAATAATTATAGATATATATGAACATAAAAAAAAAAAAAACTGCTTACTTGGATTAGTGCTGGTGATTACAGCAAGTCCACCAAAATTGCAGCTATTAGGAACAGGATTCTTCTGATAATAACTATTGAATGCAAAAGAAGCATGATCTCTCAAGGAACTGGGGTTATAGCATCTTCCATTAGGCTGGATCTCAGAGCAATCAGCCCCACCATAGCCACAAGCATAGTCCAAAGCCACTTGCAGAGACATCTGAGAAGCACTAGGGCTTGCAATACACCAGCTCACACCAAAACCAGAAGAAGAAGAAGAAGATGATGATGATGGTGGTGGTGGTGAAACAGAGGAATTAGTGCTGTTGGGTGTGGTTGGAGCATTAATGGTGGTGGTGTATGGGAGTGTCGAAGCTGGGGAAACTGTGTCTGGACTGGAATTAGGGTTTAGAATTGGAGATGAAGAAGAAGAAGATGGTGATGAGATTATGGGGACTAAGTTTGGGACTGTGGTTATTGGGGTGGTGATGTCTTTTTGTGTTGTGGAGATCACACGTGATTCCTTCATTAATATCCTCTTGCTTGATCCTGTAGTTTTCATTCCAACTGTAATTAAAGCACTTGGATTGTTTTGCTCTGTCTTTTCAATGCTCATTTCAGAAACAGAGTCATATCAAAATTTCAACCTATCTTTTCTCAAACAAATTTTGCACTGTTTACATTTATGCCTTCAAGAAGGTAACATAGCAGAATGTGCTACGCATGTGGCTCACACCTATGTTTATGCCCATTATTTATTTTCTAACTATTTCTCCTGAGTGCATTAAAAATATACTCTTGGGTTGAAGTGAAAGATCTCTAATGAGAATCAAGAATTTATAACATTTCTTTGAAATAATTTCAGGGACAAAAAGTCATTAGCGGGAATAAAATATTGCCTTGTGTTGAGCATGCATGGAATACAATATTCATTTTTGCCTCTTTTTGAGTGGATTAGAATGAGCAAAAGTGTAATTAAACCCAAGATTTGCCTTAATCAAAGATGGGCTGTAGTATACATATGCTCAATGTGAAAGCAAAAGGCATTAAGATTTTTAAATAGCCGCATAATTATTGGTTGAAGGACTCGATGAAAAAGCAGAATATAATAATGAAGGAAAATTCCACAAAGAGACAACAGTTTGAAGCATGCCAACTATTATCTATTTAAATTTCCATGGAAAGAGGAGGGAAAAAAAAATCCCAAACAGTGAACTATGTTCCAAAACAGAGAATCAAAAACGGACAAATCAATTTGAGAAAAGAGAATTGTAGCCAGTTTGGGCTAACATGAACTTCCCCTCAAAATCAGACCAAAAAAAGAGAGAGCAAAAAACTGCCATTTAAAATCCTCTAAAATATGATTTTAGTTGAACCAAAGAGAAGGAGAGACACTGAATTCCCTTCTATCTGCAAGTCTTACACTATTTATTGCCGATATCTTTCACTTTTCTTCACTTCAACTTAAATGGTTTGATCAGATTGGGATGGATTTACATGGCCTAATTACAAAACAGGAAATGCATTCTGTGGGTTGAGAATTCAGAGCATGTTCTTCTTAGTAAAGGGACTATATGCAGAAAACAGAGAAGAAGATATAACTAAGAAGGAAACAGCGGAATCAGAATCAGAATGAACATGTTATGTGTGTGTGAATTAGCAGCTTGAGAGGCATATCCAAATAAGATTGTGAAGAGAGGAAGAGAATTACCAGAAGAGAGGAATTGAGTGAGAAGGAGAAGAAGTACACAGAAAAAGTTTCTGTTTGCCATCTTCAATAATCTTGAAGGCTTGCTTAGCTTCTTGTTCAGTATGGTTTCTGGAGATTGTGAATGAAACAAACAAAAGGGAAAGCAACACAGAGGAGTGTAAGAGTGAGTGAGTGAGTGTGTGTGTCTCTCTCTCTCTCTCTATATATATATATGAAGAGAGTTATGTGGGGGTGTGTGTGGGGAAGGCGAAAAAAGGAGGGGGGTGGAAGAAAGTCGAAAGGAAAGGAGAAAAAGGGGACTGCCTCGTGATGACCGTAATCAATCACCCCCTGCCTTCCTTTTCCACTGTTTTCTTATCTCTTTAATCCTTTTTTTTTTTTAAATCTAGATTATTAATTAATATCTTTAATATTTTCTTCGTGTTTTAATTATGTTTAAATGTTAACGTAATGAGCATAACTAAAGTTTAGTTCACACACGTTGAAAATCTGCATTATATTTTGGGGGAAAACATTATCAGAATAAAAATAAAATATAATTTATGTAAGAATTCTTCTTATATTATTGTTTTCAAATGCATAAAATATATTAATGGTAAACAGATGTAATGTATATTGCGTTTGAATTAAAATTATGAAACAATTTGTGATAATTTATTTAAATTCCAAATTTAAGGCTTCCTATTGTTGGCTTTTTATATTTATCATAGTCATGTCATTGTAAGTAGTTAATATTCCACGCAATGCAAATTAATAATTGGTTCAAGGTCAATGTCATGGACCTGCATCATTTAAGGAATTAGTAATAGTTTCTTTGTTTTGTTTCATTGTAGTTTTTATTATTCAAAATTAAATTAATAAAAATTCAGGTCTGATTTTATGGCTGTGCTGTAATTTTACTGTAAAGGTATTTTATGTACAGAAGAAAAAAGTGTTGAGTACTGAATGGAAGGAGGACTATTATATATCTTTTTCAAAAATTCATTACTTTTTCTGACTCCTTTGTCTATTGTAAAGGGAGGGACCATTTTCCACAATTTGTCTCCCAACAAGATACATAAATAATAATAATAATAATAATAATAATAATAATAATAATAATAATAATAGTGCTAGTAGTAATAATAGTAATAAGTCTCTTAATGTCCATTCTTCTATTCATGTCTAGTTTGTTGAAAATAATGCACCTAACTAAAAAAGAAATATTTTCCTAATAATTCTAAGTAGTTTGTTGAAATTTGTTTACAATTTATTAATGCAATTAACCATCTATTATTCCGAAATTCTAATTATGTATGATTGATATCAATATCAAGACAAAATTAACAATGAAATGAAATTAATCCACATGGATGAAAATATAATGGTACAGACAAAATATAAAATTATTTAAATTACAAAATTTTCATTATAAATCTTTAAAATATAAAAAAATTGAATTAAGGTCCATTGAAAATAAACATTGAATAAATTAACCAAATTATTGACAAGAAAGAGTGAAAAGGAAATAGAAGCTAGTTATATGTTTAGCTTTTCAATATCATTATAATTAGAAGGAATTATAGTTGCTCATGTGGGTGGACCATATATCACAGACCATATGAATAGTAATAATAATAATACTATTTTGGTTATAAAGCAAATTATTTAGAGTTAGTGAAAGTTCAGCCTCACAAAGTCAAAGTTATCATTAGCTGCCCTTTTAGACCAAGTTGCATTTGAAAAATACCAAACCTAGAAAATAATATATACACATATAGTAGTAGGGTAGCCCCCCCTTTGTATTTTCTTATTAAAGCCACTTCTTAACTTTTGTACCATTAAATTAGAGTCATGTCACCGGATCCCATGTCCTATTTGTTCCTTTATTGTCAATAATAAATCTTCTATCATTCTCAAAATCCTGCCTTTTCATTTGAAAAATATTTGCGTATTTGCTTATCTTTGAAAGTTAGTTCAATTTTTTTTGGATTACAAAACAATTGCCCCTCCGTAAATAAAAACAAAATATGAAAAAAGAAAAATTATTTTGTAGGTAGCTATAGTTTTTCTCAGTTTTTAATTTGGCACTTATACGTTTTTTCCTCTTAATTAAATATTCTAATTTTGCTATGTTAGTACTGTTAACTTATGTAACTTTGCTTTGTTAATATCATTAGCCCTTATACAAAAAATAATTATACTAATAAAGCAAAATTATAGTATTTAATTAGAAGAGAACAATGCACAAGTATCAAATTAAAAATTGAGAAAAAATTATAGCTACATGCAAGATGATTTTCTTATAAAAAATGTTACATGCATTTTTCTTTTCTATATTTCATTTCATTTAATTATGTGATGAAAAGCCTAATTTTATTGTTTAAATAAATAAAGAGAACATGTTATCAATTTTTATTTTTATAAAATTTAAATATTTTTATTTGAAAGGAAATAGTAACAATTTATATTAAAAATATAAAAAATGAAATAAAATTTAACCAAAAAGTCATACCAGCTGACCAAGTCCGGATCCATTATTCATCTTCCCCACCAAAGAAGATAAAGCTATAAAAAGGTGGACTCTGCAGAAGAACACGAGGACCACTGGAAGAAAAGAAGATGGCAACACTCTGCTTCGCACACTCCCCTGTACCATCATCATTATCTTCATCACCCTCCATATCCAATTTCATCTCAGACCACCCATGCCTCACCATGCTTGAAAAGCAATGCTTCGCCATGAAAGACCTCAAAAAGATTCATGCTCACATCATCAAAACTGGCCTAATCGACGACCCCATTGCCGCTAGCCGCGTTTTGACCTTTTGCGCCTCTCCTTCTGGGGATACCAACTATGCCTACTTGCTTTTCACTCGAATTCCCAACCCAAATCTCTATTCTTGGAATACTATCATTAGATGCTTCTCTCGTAGCTCAACCCCACAAGACGCAATCTCACTTTTCGTTGAAATGTTGTACTCAGATACTCAACCTGAAAGATTGACTTACCCTTCGGTTTTTAAGGCTTATGCTCAAATGGGTCTCGGCCATGAAGGAGCTCAGCTTCATGGGAGAGTTTTGAAATTGGGTCTTGAACATGATGGGTTTATCCGTAATTCTCTGATACATATGTATGCGAATAGTGGGCTCTTGAGTGAAGCAAGGAGAGTGTTTCATGCTCTCTTGGAATTTGATGTTGTAGCTTGGAACTCAATGATCATGGGCCTTGCTAAATGTAGGGAAATTGAAGAGGCCAGGAACCTGTTTGATAAAATGCTTACGAGAACTTCCTTTACATGGAATTCTATGATTAGTGGGTATGTAAGGAACGGGAAACTCATGGAGGCATTAGAGCTTTTTCACAGGATGCAGAAAGAAGGGATTGAGCCTAGTGAATTTACAATGGTAAGCTTATTGAATGCTTGTGCTCACATGGGATCACTTCAACAAGGGAAATGGATTCATGATTATGTGAGAAAGAATGGGTTTGAGCTTAACGTCATTGTGGTCACAGCAATAATTGACATGTACTGCAAGTGTGGAGCTATTCATGATGCTCTACAAGTGTTTGAGGAGTGCCCGAGGAGAGGATTATCATGTTGGAACTCCATTATTATAGGGCTAGCCATGAATGGTCTTGAAAGAGAAGCAATTGAGTTCTTCTCTGAGCTTGAATCTTCTTCAAGTCTAAAACCAGATTATGTAAGTTTCATTGGTGCTCTAACAGCCTGTAAACATCTAGGCGAAGTTGATCAAGCTAGAGACTATTTTACTCTAATGATGGATAAATATAAGATCAAACCATCATTAAAACACTATACATGCATGGTTGAAGTTCTAGGCCAAGCTGGACTACTAGAAGAGGCAGAGGAATTAATAAAGGTTATGCCAATAAAGGCAGATGCTATTATATGGGGGTCTCTACTGTCATCTTGTAGGAAGCATGGGAATCTCGAGATAGCAGAGAGGGCTGCAAAACAAGTTCTTGCCCTGAATCCAAGTGACTCTGGTAGTTATGTGCTTCTTTCAAATGTTCATGCCGCGTCGAGCCGATTCGAAGAAGCAGTGGAGGAAAGGCTTTTGATGAAGGGAAGTTTGACAGAGAAAGAACCAGGATGCAGCTTGATTGAAGTGAATGGAGAAACTCATGAGTTCTTAGCTGGAGGGAGGCTGCATCCAAAAACTCAAGAGATATACTCTTTTATTGAATGATGTTGTTGGTGGTGCAAAAGGATGCTTATGTGGTGCATTGTACATGAGAAGGGGATGTTAGGCTTTAGATAAAGCAAAATGTATGTCAGTATATCTTCATGAAAAGCTATACTAAGTAGTTTGTTGTAAAGCTTATTGTTCAGGAGCAGAACATAAAAGTCATATAGATATATGTATATAAGCAATTATATGTCACTGTCAATATATCTTCATTAAAAGCCATACCATTGCCTTCTTTTGGGCTATAAGGCTGTTTCAGTTTATGGTAAACCTTATTTGTTACTCTTCTCATTCAATTCCATGTGTCTTTTTTTTTTTTTTTAATTAAAGAGACAAGTGATAACAAGTTGAGATACATACGAGATTGAATCCATAACTTCTCATATAAAGTTGAAATGCTATCTTAATCCCATAAAACGATTCATCACATTTGAAGTGTCTAAAAACAGTCCTTTAAATGATTAAATTTACTAAATCAAATAAATTGTTTGCATGAAACATGTTAAGATACAAGTTAACACCAATAAATGTAATGTCATATTGTCGAGTGATATTTTTATTTTTTTTCTTTTGTATTTTAAATGATAAGGTAGGAACCTAACCGTACTTAATTCAAAAATTAAAAAATTGGAGATATTATTGCAGCCCTCTCTACTAAAAGAAGTGCTCATTTGGTTTGAAATAATAGCAAAATTAAAATAATTATAGTAATTATTCACTAAAATCAACTCATGGATAGGAGAAATCACATATAAAATAATAGAAAGATCACACAATAGTTTCTTAGAGTAAACCCATCCTTCTTCTTTTTCTCACACTAGAAAAAGTATATTTTATTAATACGAAAAAGCCACAGAGAAGTCAAAATACATGAAACAGAAACAACTCGAGGAAATAAAACCAAACATACTCATCAAATTCCGAATAATTCGGATCGAGTAAGTAAAAACACACAAGTGATCTATCATTAGATTTAATTTTCTCATTAATTAGTATATTTTAGGCTGAACGTCCCAATGGCATGAACAATGTCATTATTGGCTGTGAATAAAATGGCAACGAGCTCTGATGTTTTGTTCTGCAGAACCGATATGGGGTGGCCTTGCTTCTTCACAACTATGGACGCAGAAGGGATTATCTCATTAACTTTCTTCACTACTACTTCCACCTTCCTCCCAAGCAGCAGACGCCATGGATAATTCCTTCCTTCAATATAATCCCAACAAAAACCACAATCAACTTCAACTCTGTTACTCCATTTGTTTTAATTTTCTAGACCAACGCATCAGTTTATTTTTATTAATGGGATATGTGTCTATGATGACTTGTAAAAATAGAGGTATATATATAGATATTCCTAGTATGCCTTATTTATAAGACATTTTCAATATGTTTCATCAAAACTAATATAAACTTCAATTAAATAATTTTGTCTTAAAATTTAATGAATTTTCAACTTTATCCTTATTTAAGAAAATAACAACTCATATAATAAATTTAATGAAATGACTTATACAATAAACAAATAGTCTTTCTACCTTATACATAAGGCCCTATAAGTACATTAATTTCTCTTTATATTTAATCATTTTTTAGCACTTCTCTATGCATACATACATATTTATTTGTTAACATGAAATATTAGAACTCATGATAACCTCCAAATCTTTTTAATTTACACGGATGGATAATCTTATCGTCATTAATTACTATGTTATTAGATGATGCATTGCTATGGCCTTATGGCGTAATGACGTGGAAGATTCCATATAAGTAAAAGGTTATGAGTTTAATATCATTTGTAGTCGATCCTGAGCAATGAACAAGTAGTGCCTGTTAATAAAATTAAATTAAACTAAACTAAATTTGAATTATTTAATCTCAATTTGAACAGTTTCTATAAGATATGAGCACCCGTTGCTCATCATCACAATCCACCTTTTATTCTACATAGTTTTTTTTTTGGGTCAAATATTCTACATAGTTTGTTTACAAATGACTTATCAGAGTTGAAGAAATTATCTGTACCTTTTTTATTTCTTCATCAATTCCTGAGGGAGAAGAGGCTTGACCAATATTCGCAGAAGAGTCTTGAGTGGTGGCATGATCAAAATTCACAGAAGAGTGTGGAGTGGCCAAAGAAATAGGAACAAGTGCTTCAAACTGGTTGAAATAGTTAACATAATCATCCAGAGAAGATTGTGGAGTGATTGAAGAAATAGGAATGAATGCTTCATTCTGGGTTGAACAGTGAACTTGAATTGCTAATATGGTAAGCACACTCATAATTATCATTTTTGCTAAATGACCCCTTGCAAAGTCCATTATTTTTTCTTCTTTAGATTTTCCCTCTCTTTGGATTTTGCTGTTGAACGAATGAAGAGCTAAGTGGGGTCAGACCCAAAATTTATAAGATCTTCATATCATCATTTATGAATGTGACATCTTGCTATTTTAATTCGGTTGCTTTTAAATTATTTCGATCTTGTCCTTATAAAGATCCTTATGGATCTGCGCAATATAATGCTGTAAATCAATATCAATAAGTTTTTATTATTATTTAAGTGTGGGATTCGAATTTGAGCTTGTGTAAGTGTAAAATACGAATTAACTAATTCACGAGCATCTTTTTTTTGTTGCATAAAATTGAGATAAATTGTATATTTCTTTTGTAGTAAGCTTCCAATACATGAAAAGTCCATCTGAAATTGTGGGTTGCCCTTTGAAACACCTTAATCTGTGATTATATATATGTGTATATTTATAATATTAATCGCTTATTAACCTTTGTTTTGTTTTTTTAGAACACTTATTGACCTTTTCTATTGGGTGAAAAAACACAACTTATCGGTTGATCACATGGCTAGCCAATTTTCTATTTTTAAAAACAAGTACTCCTCCGGTTCTTAATATAAGACCCATTTAACTAATTTGATTAGATTAAAGAAGTTAGGTAAATTAGTTAATTATAAGAAAAGTAACACATTTTTCCTAAAACACCATAATCATATTTCTTAATACTCTCTCTTCCTCTTCCACTTGATTATGGTTGAGGGAGTATCCATAAGGGTAATTTAGAGAAAATTGATAAATATGAGAAATGGGTCTTATATTTAGGACCAAAACTAACTCAACAATTGGGTCTTATATTAAGGACCGGAGGAGTACAATATATCTTGAACCTTTATTTGTTAAAACGATAAAATTTTCTATTTTTAAATTTTTATTATATCATTTCCAAATACGAGAAACCTTATGCTAAAACGAAAGTGAAAATAAGTATATCTTTTTTAAATGAACTTAAGAAGAGATCAAAACAATTTATTCTTTATTTAAATTATCTATATAAATTAATGATTAATCTCGCATCGCCGTATGGGTTTTGCAACGTAACCCCATTTATATTTTAAAAAAGAAAAATGGCATTGGGTCAAAGTTCAAACAACAATATAATGCAGAATATATAAGGACAACAAAAAATAGCAGTATTCCGAAGACCAGATCCCAAGCAATGTTTGATATATTGAAAATATTTTAAAAAAAGAAAGAGAAAAATAGAATTGAAAAAATGATAACATGAGAACAAGTATACCAAATAATATTTGAGAGATTTAGAAAAAATTAAAAATTCTCGAACTCATCTTTAAAATAAAAATAAAAAATCGGGTTTCTTAAACAGGAAAAGACCATATTGCTCCTGAAATAAAAATACATCACAAATGACTATTACCACCACTACTTGTATTATTATCAGGACAATTTTGACATTTTAATAGAAAATAATACTTTGGTTAAAAAAACAGAGAAAATAATACTCTTCCAATTTTATATGTATGAGTTAGAAAGCGGTCACAGATGTACTAACAAATCATTTACCAATAATATCTTCATATCGGTAGTATAATTTGAGCTTATGACCTTATGGGTTATGAATTAACTTTTTATCTACTATACCAACTATTGTTGGTGTAATAATTTGTTTTTAAATAAGGTACAGTTGTATCCAATACCCCAAAATATTTTTTCGGGTGTGTCCAGTACCTTAAATTATTTTGTGGTATGCATTTAGCATCTTAAATTATTTTTTTAAACGCGTCCAATACCTTAAAATATTTTTTTGTGCATTCAGCATTTTAAAACAACTTTTTTGATGCATCCATTATCTGAAAATATTTTTTAGTGCATCTAGCACCAAGAGAAAAAAAATACTTCAGGATATTAGATGCACATAAAAAAATACTTTCAGGGTGCTGAATGTATCACAAATTATTTCAGGGTGTTGGATGCACTTTTATCTTTTTGAATGTGAGGTTAAGATACTATCTTAGTGACATGATTTTATTATATTCATCATTTCAAAATGATCCCTTTTATTTGAAGTGTTTTGAAATAATCCTTTAAATGATTAAATCTACTATATCAAATAAGTTTTTCTAAGCAGCATATCAAACAGGTTGTTTCTGCAAATATGTTATAATTTAACACCAATTTGTTATGTGCTCTCTTTATTTTTATTTTTATTTTTGGTATTTTAAATGACAAGATTGGAACTCGATCGTGCTTAATTCAATTGAAAAAAGAAAGTGGAGATGGAATAATTACACCCCTTTTCTCTACATAAGCTCGATCGAATTCTTAGCTCAATATTTTATTATTCAGGATATATAAGTGCTCATTTGACTTGAAAAAAAATAATTCATTATTAATTACTCATCCATCGGTGGGAGGAAACCACAGCTGAAATAATAGCTAGAAAGTATATTTTCTCCAGAATAGACCCAGCATTTTTTTTATTCGGGGCCAACACATCTCACTTCGCCAATCTTATTTATAAAGTAAATAGATTTTTTTCTTAATATAAGTCATCTCATTAAATTTATTATATAAACACGTATCATTTAATTTTACCCATAATTTTAAAATAAACTATTCGTTGTTTATTGACACAAAATAACAGGAGGACATGGAAGCCAAAAATACATAGAATAACAATAAGAGAAATAAAACCAATATACATATCGACACGAATTTAAACTAATTCAGGCTAATCCAAACTGAAAACACACTTCTCCATATAAAAACACAAACAAATTAAAGTATCATTAAATTTTTAAGGTTAATATCTGTTGGTCACCACAACAATGGCATAAACAATGTCACTATTATAGTATGTGAATAAAATGGCAGTGAGGTCTGGGCCTTTGTCTTGTAGAAAATATGCTGGCATGCCTTCTTCCTTCACAATTACCGACG